AATGTTGTTGACTTGTTTAAACTTGTAATTTCTACTTTGACTTGTTGCAATTTGTGCCATTTAAATGGCTATTGGCCTACTGCCATCGTTTATTAGTAAATGATATTATTGGCTTATAAGATGCTAAATGAATATGGTTATTTACTTATTTTAGACATTTGAATTTTCCTAGTTTTGGGCCATTATAGTAATTTTCGGTTTAAAACCGAAACCGCACCATTACAAACCGCAACCGCAAATAAAACCGCAAAAACCGTACCGCAATAAAACCGCACCTAGCAGTTTTACATAAAGAAAAACCGCACCTAGCGGCATGAGTTGCGGTTTTAGGCTAAAACCGCACCATACCGCACTATGCTCACCCCTAATGTGCACCATAGGATGTTGTAGTATACTAAAACCCTTCAGATCTCAGATTATGTTTATCTCACATTCAAAAGACGGGGTCATTGCTAATCACTAAACAGATGGTGAATTATCCATACAAAATTGCATGGTCCTCGGCTCAAGTTACATTTGAGATTCGCGAGTTCCACATCATTCTCTACTTATACTCTTAAATTGACGTGCCGGTTAACTACACGAGCTCCATCAACAAGTTATAAAGATAATGTGCAACGTTTATGGATAACATAAGATTCACATTAGACAGATTGTGAATTAACCATGCAAAATCGCATGGTCCCCAGCTCAAGTTACGATTGAGATTCGCGAGTTCCATATCATTCTCAACTATACTCTAGATTGAAGTGGCGGTTAACCACACGAGCTCCATCAAAAGAATATAAAGAAAATGTGAAATTTTCACGAATAACATAAGATTCACATTCTATTAATAAAACAGGATTTTTTTTTATATTTGTATAGATAATAGTTTTATATTGACCATTATCACTATCAAACCCTTTCGGTACTCCATTCTCAAAATGCAATAGGGCAATGAGGGTCGTAAGCGCGAAGCATATTAAAGACCGACCTCATTAGGACTCATAGAGATCTCCTTAAACCCTTACATGGTAAGATTGACAATATCAATATTTAAAACATGTGAGGGTGCATGTTGTAACTTTCTTATACATATAGTAGATACAATTCTAATATATATAAAAGGGGTATATTTAAAGCTCATTAGATTAGTTGTCTATTATTAATTTTAATTAATTACGAAGACGCAATTTTTTATTTGGTAATTATATATATTAAAAATAATCTTTAAGTCTGAAATAAAATAAAAAGAGAAACCCTAATCTGGGTGGCTCACGTCTTGACCATAATGTCGTCACGTCGTGAGCTGCGACACAGGTTTCTGGGTTTCGAATTTTTCTTCTTCTTTTCAATTTCAAAGAAGCATTTATAGAAAATATGGTTTAAGGGTGCTACTAATTATGAATCAATGGCTCTGATACCATTGTTGTGTTTTCTATGCATCATACACTTAAACTATGTAGCGAAAAAATCAAACTATGATATACCTAAGTGTACATGCAACCTAGGATCTATGGCTTCATACTAATTACGGCTACCCTATTAAACATAAAAACATAAAGAAGGAAAAAACATACCTCTTATGTAGCCCTTGATCTCCATGCTTGAGATCATGATCTTGTCCTCCTCGCAGTTGCTTGGATGAAAGGACCCAAACCATAATCCCTTTAATGGTATCACACCCAATGACACCAAAGAGTGGAATAAAAATAACTAGGAGAATGGTTAATTTCCCAAACCCTAAGAGGGTTACAAATCGTCCCTATGGGGGGGGGGGGAAGAAGGATTGGTGAAACTTCAAGACAAGGTGCAAGGAAGAATGAAATCCCTAAGGCTCTATTTATAGCCTTGGATCCCTTCCTATGTTTAGTACTCATTCCCATGTGGGATACAAGGCATAGAAAGAAATTCACTCCTTTCCCATGTGGGATGAAGTGATTTTCATCCAACCCTAATTCTATAAGGGTTCTAGAACATTCCTGATTAACTAACTATCGATTAATGAATACTCAACCCTTTATTTAAATAAGCTGTTAATTAATTCCCAAAATATTTTCCAATTGGTTTCTACTTAATTATTAACTATAATAATTAACAAACTAATCTCTCCTTTATTTATTCTACTTAATTTGGGTCTTGAGGGCAACCCACAAGGACCCTGCTATTATTAGAAATATTACCAATAACTAATGACATTGGACACTCTTTCCAACAATAGATCCCTCAAAACTCTCTATTTCTTGCAAAGTTTGATAAATTTGGTCTCAACTCTTCCAATGGATTTTTTCGAGTTCTATTCAAACCAAGCAAAATTTCCCAAACTTTATCTTACCCATTATCGAAGAATGAAAATTTTCATCTCCACATTGGTGCTTTTTAGCACCATCTTCCTTCAATATGGTGTTACTGACAAACAATGTAAATCTCTGTTTTTATTTGAGTGACACCATGACATTCAACTCACCTACCAAACATGACTTCGAGTTTATTTCTAAGTTAGTCAAACCACCTTCTAAGCATATTGTCAAGTCATCAGGTAAACCAAAAACAATGCAGCAAAAGACTACAACATTAGTTCCACCAACGGTCATGATAGAGTCATGATTCTTGACCACGACAACATCACAATTGACTTCCTACTCCTTGAAAAAACGATGCACAACATCCATCCAGCTCTCTTCCAAATCCACATCTTTTCCATGAGAATAAAAAATTACCATATGAAGTTGTATGTGAAATTTCTTATGGTTTTTATCTTTTTTCTAATTGAATTCAAATGATATGTGTCTTAGACTCTTTTCCATTATTCTTAAGTTCATCTTCTTCTTTACCTAATTTACTTTCTGATTCCATGAAGGAATTGGAATCATCCTCTTGATTAATGGAGCCACCCACCAATCTCTCTCACTTTTGTGGTAAGTATTGTATTATCCATAACCATATTTTTAGAAACCGTGATATTTTCCATGCATGTAGTCTATGAACACACTCTTTACTAGAAAATTACTCAGATAGAAAGGTTCCATAAATAAGACATCCCTCACATACTAGCTACCACCAAGAATAATGATGTGTGCTAAGCATATAAAGGAATTCCATCTATGTTAAGCTAATATTTCCTTCACCATAAATTATGATGTACACACCAATATCTCTCCAAAACATCACTCCCTTTCCCCTTAACATCATGATCACTGCCTTCCTTAATCCACCCATCCCTATGGTTATTAGAACTGTTGTTCTCTATAACACCAAATCAACAATAATAAGTTCCACTAGAAAGAAGAATACTGCCTAACCTGGATCATAAAAATCAACAAGCACAAATAAAATAATGACAACAAACGATGTCAAGAAATTGCAAAACTAAAATTTCAGATAGTTTGTGATGAACTTCGACAATGTTATCTCCTGATAAAACCTAATTATCAACTAGGTGTTGAGAGAGATAAAAATAACACCAAACCTATAGTAATTTTTTAGCCCCCAAGGTGGGAGCCTATTGACTGAGGATTGAAATTCCACATATGAGGTCATGTGTTCAAACCCCGTCACCCCAAAAATATTGTTAGAGTTTTGTGATTGATCTCCCACATAGACTTTAAGACAGATTGGTGTACGCTACTCAGATGATACGATTTACCATTTATAGTAAGTTTTTGATCTATGGGGTTTTATTAGCTTATTAATTGAAATAGTTATAACTTTTATAGTTATTAAAGGGTCTTATTAAAGAAAAAAAAATGCGATTCAAGGTAAAATGTGTAAAGAAAAAACATCATTTTTCTTTACTTTGGTAGTTATGTGGAGTATTATCTTAATTTTTCTTATATGGCTGGTGCCTCTACATCTTTTTTCTTTTAGCTTGGATGACCAAGTAAGAAATTGTATTGCTTGAAATCTCCAGGTTAACTAATTTAGGATATTACATGTCCGTCATGCATGGAAAATCTGAATAACTTACATTTTGACAAAGCAAAAAACCTTTGTTGAAATTACGACCATATCTCGATACAACTAATTAAAATCTTGAAGAATGAAATTATGATATTTCCTGACCCCACAAGACAAAAATGTCACTATTAACAATTAAAACACCATAATTAAACTTAACACAACAATAGTTAAATAATACATAAATATAATTGCAAATAATAAATTTCTCTCTCTCTCTCGAAATGATCCGCACACCACAAGGTCATCTCTCGATCAAATTGCTTATGACTTATGACTTGTGACACATTTGATGTATCGTTAGCACTTAGCACTATCAAAAATCATAAAAGAAATTTTGCTAGATGATTCCAAAAATAACGCGTCTCAACAAGATTAAGGGCGTGTTTGACACGAAGCTTTTCAAAACATTTGGGAGCTTCTAGCTTTTAGTTTTTGATAAAAAGCTCTAGTTTAAACAAAAAGCTTCGTTTGACAGTACGAACGTTTAGCTTTTAGTTTTAACAAAACGCTCTGATTCTAAAAGCTACTTCATGTAGCGTTTAACAAAACGCTCCTGAGCTTTTGAAATCAATTTCCATAATTACCCTTAAAAATATATTTATATATTTATTTATTTTTAATCAATTGTCCTTTTATGTAATTTTATATATTTCAAAAACTTCCAGCTATTTTTGCCAAACATTCATATAACAAATAAAAGCTACAGCTTCCCGCTAACAGCTACCTGCTACATGCTAAAAGCTACCCGCTACCGGCTAACAACTACTTTTTGCCAATCATGCCCTAAATCTTATGCAATGTTTTTTATTATTAGTTCAACAAAAAAAATATATTGGTATAACATAAATGAGTAAATGACAAATCATAAGTTTTGATCACTTCTTTGTACAATACAATTATTGTAAATAAAGTTTTATCATAACTTAAAACCAAATTATATAAATTAACTTACATCTAAGAAATGCAAAGTCAAATGAACATTCCTCTTTTTTAATGTTTGTTTTTTCATTGCTTCCTCTTCACTTTCCTTTCCCCTATTACCAATCTCTCTCTCTCTCTCTCTCTCTCTCTCTCTCTCTCATACCTACACACACTCTCCCTCTCTCTCTCACACACACGACCCCTTTATCTTTCACATACTTGAGTGAATTCCAAGAACCAAAAAGACTATCAGTTCCACCCTCAAGTTTCAATCTTTCTTACTTAATTCTTCAAAACCAGACACCCGTTTGAAGATTTGCCAAGAAAGTATAACCCCATTTGGAAGTCCAGTTCAATTATGGAAAAGGAGAAGTTTTTCACCAATGAAGGGAATGGAATCCCCCAAGCCTGGAATTCCATTTTTGGAATTGGAATTCAAGGAAGTGAGCTGAATTGTAGCTCAGAGCAGCTTCCCAACTGCTTCTTTAACCCCAATTGCGAGAATTCAATGGACCAGAGAGATATCTTTGAGTCTGCTTTGAGTTCAATTGTCTCTTCTCCGGCCAATTCCCACCCCGGAATCCCAATTCCAGGCGGTGGTAATGGCGGTGAGAGCATTGTTCTAAGGGAATTGATTGGTAGGCTAGGAAGTATATGCAATTCCGGGGAGATTTCACCTCAATCCCGCATTAATGGAAACAACAGCACCAACAATTCGTCCTATAACACTCCTTTAAATTCACCACCAAAGCTTAATCTCTCAATAACAGATCATCAAATTCACGGGAGTTTACCAGTTCTCGGGAATCGCCAATTACCACCTGCTCCATTCCCTACAGATCCTGGATTTGTTGAAAGAGCAGCAAGATTCTCTTCTTTCGGTGGGAGGAGCTTTGCGCTAAAAGAAAACGAATTCCCTCATGTAATGGAATCAGGAAGGCTGTCAAGATCACAATTCGCTGGAATCCCAGAAGAAAACAAAAAATTCAGCAGACTATCAATGTTTTCAACTCAAGATAACACAGAAATAGGTGATTCGAGGGAGGAATCATCGGTTTCTGAACAAATCCTAGGTGGGGAAACTGAAACCGAAACAGTAATGAAAGGGCAGAGTACAAGTACTAATGGAAGAAAGAGAAAGGGAAAAGGGAAAGAAACCCAATCTAGTACTACTACTCTCCCTGTTAAAGATGACAAGGTTAGTTAAGTCATTTCATCAATTCCTTTTGTTCTTTGTTTACAGACTTCTAAAGATATTTTGTTTTTGCAGGTTGTGGCAGAAGCAGAAAAAGCGGAATCAGATGCAAAAAGAAGCAAGTCAGATGAAGAAGAAAAGGAAAAAGAAAAAGAAAAAGAAAAAGAAAAAACAAATGAAAATGTAAATGTAAAGCCACCAGAACCACCAAAGGACTACATTCATGTTAGAGCCAGAAGGGGTCAAGCTACTGATAGCCATAGTCTCGCAGAAAGAGTACGCTAATAATTACCACTATTAGTGAAATAATTAAAAATATAATCACAATTCACAAAACCCATCTCACATTTCTTTCTTTTTTTTTGACAAATTCAGGTCAGAAGAGAGAAAATTAGTGAGAGGATGAAATTCCTTCAAGATCTTGTTCCTGGTTGTAACAAGGTAAACTTAAAAAATTGCTCAAAAAGCTTCAGTTTTTATCATTTTTCTTCACTTCTTGAATGTAATTTAAGATGGGTTTTTTATTTTATAGGTCACAGGAAAAGCTGTGATGCTTGATGAGATTATAAACTACGTACAGTCGTTACAGAGACAAGTTGAGGTAATTAAAGATTAATCTAATACTAAACTTTTTCGTAAAAATACCCAAATATGTTGATTTCTTTTTTTAACTAAATTGAGTTCTCTTTGGCTGTAGTTCTTGTCGATGAAATTAGCAACTGTTAATCCTCGGATGGATGTTAGCATGGAAGCACTTTTATCCAAAGACGTAAGCTTTTTTCAACTGTTTTTATCGATTCTTTCACAAATTAAAAGGGTTTTTACATGATTTTGAATTGAATAATGACAAATTTGGGATTAATTTTATGTGCAAATTTCAGATGTTCCGTAGTCGGGTGCCTCTGCCAACCAACATGACCCCATTTGATGCTTCAACGCAGCAATTCCCTTATGGATTTCACTCTCAAAATGCTGGAATAGTTCTTGATGGACCCGATAATCAATTTTCTATGAACCCTTTAATGGCAGCAATGCATCGCAGCTCGATCATGAAGCCTTCTCACATTGATGGTTTCGAGGTAAAAACTAAAAAGAATCAATCTTTTTTATAGAAATATTCCAAGATTTGTAAAAAAAAGTAAGGTATTAATGGAAAAACTTATGAATGGAAAAAATTTAGGCTTCAGCATTCTGGGAAAATGACCTTCAAAGTGTTGTAAAGATGGCATTAGGAGGCCAGGATCAGCCACAAAGCTTTCATGGTGAGTTGACTTTTTGTTATAAAGTTTGACTTATTGTGAGTTAAAAAGTCAAATTATCTTATATATGAACATTTTTCAGGTCAAATGAAAGTTGAGCTATGATGATATTGATAAAATATTCTTGACATAAAATGGGATTGTTAATGAGGCCCCGATTAAGAGAGGCATCTGTAATTCTGTATAGAGAAAGTGGAAGAAAGACAAATTGATGGTTTCTTCATGAAATTGAGTGTATAATTCTAGACTAATTCAGAGTATGCGGCTGTGGTGGTGGCGGCAGATGGTGGTGGTGGTGGCGGTGGAAGGTGGGTGTGAGGTGATGCAACTAGTAAGATGTTGTAACATGGTAGGGAGAATATTGTATGGGTTGATGAGAGAAAGAAAGAGCTTTTCCTTCAACCTTTTTTTTCATATTTTTCTTACTATTTTGATATAATTAATCATTAATTTTTATGATTCATTTCCGAATTATGTTTTATTGCTTTTAATTGTTAGTTTGCTACGTTTATATTCCTATAAACCATGAAATAAACGTTATTTCGCCTTTTTTCTATCTCACAACCTTTTACTTCATCTTTTCATTTTAAAATTCAAATAATTATTAAATTTCCATCACACAATGTGCGACAAGTGTAACAGTAAAAATGAATAGAAAAAAAAGGCAACACGTTATCGATAACAAATTAGATGGACAAAAAGCACCATGTTTCTTAGGTTTATAGTATTTTCAAGGAACTTTTAGGTTTTATCAAAGATTTATTTAAAGATTTTACACATACACTCACAACTTTGCATTATGATCATTGCTTCAACTTTTCTGGGTCAAACCAGAAAAAGGGGAAAGAAAGAGAAATATATATATTTTTAATTATTAAGAGAATTAACTTGTATAAATATCATAATCAATTAAAAAAATCATTTTCAAGAAACACATAACCATAGCAAAGATGTTACCTTTAAAATCATCACGATATAGCTTTATGTATTAAGCTAGAAACCTAGCATTTGAATTCTACATTTGGGTATTATGCAATTATAAATATAATTGAGAATATGTTTTAGAAAAAAAAAAATAGGTCTACAAGATTCCAATTGTTCAAATTGAGGTCTTTCAAATATTTGAAAATCTCGATTGCATAAATTGTGGCAAGATTACATGTTTATATTTTCTTTGTTGTTTGATTGTAAATTAGTCATTTCTGGTGGGGACACTAAACACTTAAGTCCATCTAGTCTTGATTAAGAATGATGGGTGATGTATACAAACAAGATAGAATTTGTCCAATATGAGTTGTATTGTACAATGTGTTCGGTATCAATTTGGATTTGGTGATTGATTGTATAGTATATTTCATTTATTTTACAGGAACTCATATTTTTTAGTTTTTGTAGATTTCTTCGAATTACAAAATAGTGTCGACTGATATGGGGCATATGGAAGATCTTACAACATATTTAAGGACAAGTGAGAGAATAACAAATAAACGGAATAAATGCTAACTTAAAAGTTAAAAATACGATTTGCCCATTGAGAGTCCCAAACACAATTGTTTAGAGGTTAGACACTCAAATTTTGTTTTCCCTAATTTTGCTATTTTTCCAATTTATTGTAGTAAGTTATTGATTAGCCTTTCAATTTCAATAAATTTGTGTAAAATTTAATTTATAAAAATTTGTCAGTATCTGCCACGTTTAGAAACCTTTTATAAAAGATGTCGAAAGTAATACTTAGAGGTATCTTGAAATTAATAAAAACATCTTTCTTTTATTTTTGAACAGGTCTTTGTTCTTACTTTCGTTCTGCACTACTGTAAGTGACTTATCCTATCCTAACTTGTTACATGCCTCTAGTTTCGACTGTATTTTCTATTTGATTGTCATCAGTCATAACAAAATGTGTTGTTTAATTTTCTAATTCATTTGTCTCATTTGTACATCGATTATAATATTCCATATCTTTGACATATTAAAAAAAGCTTCAACCCGACATGCAAGTTTATCGGACAATGCCAACGTGTCATTAAATTTACGAGAAATAAATGAAGATAAACATGTACTATCAAGGAGGTTTAGAACTTGTACCTAAAAGTTGCTAGCACTACTGTAAGTGTAAAGTACATTCTAAGGCAATTTATGGCAATTCATGATGATTGTTAACACCAACTATTACAAATCAACCCAATCATTTTCCCTTTCACTTTCACACAAGGTTTGACAAATATGAAAACATATATGGTTTTTTTTTTTCATCGAATATAAATATTTTAGAATTAGGTATAACTTTCATTGTATGATAGATTATCAAAACATTATGTCTTTGGAATTGATAATTGGAAGAGGTTACACTATTCACTCCTTATATTCTTTTGTTTTGGCTATTTACTTTGTTTGATGAGGCAATGTTGAAGTATGGTACAAGGGAATGTAATTAGGGATAAGGGTTCTAGGGGAATAGTGATATTGGGGTTGGTCCCTCTTTGAGTTATTATACACCAAATAGTGGTTGAGCCAACTTTCTTGAACATTGACATTGACTTTACATTCTTTTAGAAGATGATAATTTGGTGCAAATAGTAAGGATTGCCAAACATGTCATTCGATTTTGATCTTCCTTTTTATGAATTAAAGTTCGCTTATATAGGAAAAAAGATAATCGCAACAATATAAAATAGAATATGTTCTATCAAAAAAGCACTATCTGTTTCTCAACAGTAACAAAATATTTAATTATTTTGAATAAGGATTTTTGCGAAAATATTTTTCTAACCAATCCCGTAAAAAGGCATAATATTTTACAAAACTAATACCATTTTGAAAAATTATTCTTATTTATGAAACAATTTTTATTTTAATAAATTAAAAACCATTTTAAAAAAACAAGAAACTCGACACTCTTTTTCTTGACTTTATTTTGTCCTCATGTATTTGCTTGTATGTGTAGAAAAAATTCATGAGACATTCCATAAGAAAAATATGGCATTCACATAAGCGACTTGCCTTTTTACCAAAAAATTGAATTGAAATTGGAACCGAATCAGAACCTGTTAGTGGTATTTAGTCGGATTCTCTGTTCTTAGTTTACGATTAGTTTTTGGTCCCATTCCGTTTAGGGTTGGTTTCGATTCAAAACACCTTCTTAGATAACATATTTCATATTAGAATTGAACCGAACAGAAACCGATTAGTGGTATTTAGTCCGGTTTACGGTTCTTACTTTATTGCTTATTCAGTTGTCAGTTTTTTGGTTCCGGTCCGATTTACATGTCTAATGCACATTACTCTAATTAGGGTCGGCCGATGGGCCAGAGCAAGCTAGGCGACCGCCATGGTCCCCCAAATGCCAAAGGGCCACATTTTATACTTGTTATGTTGAGTTAACCCGTTATTTTTTAGCCTAGTGCATTGGTTCAATGGCCCACTGCTAATTAGGAGCCTAAGAGGAACTGACGAAGCAAGAGAGAGATTAAGTAACATGAGGCGTGCAATGTCAAATTCTAATTTCCAAAGCTCTGTTGGGTTTAATCAAAACCATTTTCCTAAAAACGGCAATGAAAGCTTTATAATTAAGATAAACTTAAAACCATTATAACACACCAATGAACATTTTGCAATCATGGAAAGATTAAATTAACCATAGAAAGGAAAGTGTTACAACCTTTGAAGACTTTGATTCTCATAGGATATTAAAAGTAGATGAAGATGATATGAAGCTCTAAAGAAGAAGTTGTACATAATGTATCCACCAAGCAAGGATTTTGTAACATCCCGATGTGAGGTACTTCTAAATTTAACCCCCTTTAATTTATTTAGATTTCTTTTGGTCCCAAAGTTCAAGAGATGTATGCAAAAGGGCCTTAAGGGCATTGTTGTAAATTAAGGGCTTCGGAGTACGCCATGCATACGTGGTGTACGCTGAGCGTACTAGGGCGCGCCCTAGTATGCTGGGCGTACATCAGTGTACGTTGGGCCCACTTGCTAAATGAGGAAACCCTAATTTTTAGGGTTTGGCTGGTATTTAAGCATCCTTATGGCCTCATTTCTCTTCACCTTATCAGCTTCCACCCTCTCGTTCGTGTTTGAAGCCCTAGTTCACCTTGAGAAGCCATTTCTAGCCTAAAAGTGTGTATTTGTGTGCTTAGAAGAAGGAAGGAAGCCAAGCTCATCTTTGAAGAGTGAAGCACTTTAGATCTGGGATTTATTCTTCATTTGCAACCCTTCAAAGGTATAAAGCTTGAAACTTTGTCTTTCAATCATGTAGATTTAGAAATTAGTGTTTTTGTGATGCTTTTTGGTCTCAAATGTCTTATCTTGAGCATGGCATGTTCTTGAAAATTTGAGTTGTCCTTTCAGACCCTAGGAGGGGTCCTAAGTCATAAAAATGAAGTCCCAATGGTCAGTTTTGCTCCATGCATCTTGTAGAAGGTCTTAATGGATTAAGAGCTTGAGTTAAGCACTTAATGGGCATGTAAAGTCATAAAGTTGGAAACTTTATGACTCTAGAGTATATTTGAGCCTTGGATCTGAAATATTGACATAAGTGCTTAAGCCATTAAGCACTTACATGCCCTGCGTACGAGGTTAACCACCCTGATGGTGGTCAACTGCGAGGGTTTGGAGTACGCTCAGCGTACCTTTGGAGTATGCCCTGCGTACTCGCACTGGGTCAATCCGGTTGTGTTTACTCGGTTGGGTTGACTCGGTTGACTTAGTTGGTTTGACCAGTTGACTCTGACCAAGTTTGACCTTAAGGGTATTTTGGGTATTTCGGGAATTTGATTAAGATTTGGGTCATTTGGTTGGAATAAGAGTCGATTGTAGCTGAGATTCGGAGTCGAGACCTCATCAACTTTTGTCCAGTCTGCGATGTGAGTTTTCCTCACTATAATTTTGGGTCAAAGGCACCATGGCTGGCCCAATGAATTGTTATCTTGGTTTATCACATGTTGGTATGCTGTAACGATCTATTAGATCTGTATCCTGGTAGATAGGATGATGCTATGCTTAGTAATCTGTAAGATCTGTCTGATTATTTATTGGCTATTTATATGTATGCTTGTCTGTTATGTATATGTCGACATGGTTTATGTGTGGTTGGGTTGAGGCGTACCAGTGTAGACTGAAGGCCAAGAGACCCAGGGCGTCCCGGATAGACTGCGGGCCCGAGAGGCGTACCAGTCAAGTCGAAGGCCCAAAGAACGTTCCAGATAGGCTGAAGGCCCGGTGAGGAATACCAGTCATGTTGAAGGTTCTGTGAGCGTACCAAATAGACTGTAGGCTGGTGTGACGTTCAAGTCAGGTTGAAGGCTCTGTATGCATGTTGTCTGTATTATGCTAATGTTATGTGTTGGTATTTTAGGGGAAACTCACTA